AAGTAAGCTACTGTAGTAGTGTTGTCTGATAAGACTTTAATATGACAATTCATGTCCTTGTCACATRATGCTTTCAATCCCAGTGAGACAGCGAGCAGCTCWAGTGCGTTTATGTGAAGCTTGCCCTCAGCAGGAGACCATCTGCCTCCTGTGGAAACTCCTTCACAAAAAGCCCCCCAACCCAGATTTGAAGCATCTGTCCTAATTTCWTTAAGTATTGCTCCATGGGTAATTTTTCTCTTGTCAGATAAGGCATTTTCTAGCCACCATAGTATACCAGACTTGGCTTTGTCAGATAATGTCATATGACTTTCAAAGTTCCAGCATGAACTTTTCAGAGCAATAGATTTTTCAATTTCTWATTGTCTGTAGTAGAGTCGCCCATACTCCACGCCTGGAAAGGAGGATACCATTATCCCCACTAGGCGTGCTACTTGTCGAATGGGGGTTGAATTGACAGACAAAACAGTGTTAGCTATTGCATGGAGCTTCTGGTAGTTTYGCTGAGTAATGCTCACTGTCATATCTTTCGAATTAAGCACAAAACCTAGATGCTCTAGCGTTTGAGTAGGGGTAGTAACAGATTTTGCATAGTTTGGGCAAAATCCCAAGTTTTCCAAAATATCTAGTGTGTCTAATGCATTAGACTTGCATGATTCAAATGTATCCCCTTCTAGGAAGGAGTCGTCCAGGTAGGCAMTGGATACATGTCCCTGTTGTCTCAGGACTGAATACATAGGTTTCAGTAGTTTGGTAAATATACGGGGTGCTGATGAAAGACCCTGGGCTAGACATGTAAATTGATACAACTTTTCCCTCCATAGAAATTTAAAATATTTTTGGTGATCTGTGTGGATCGGTACAGAAAAATAAGCATCGCTTAAGTCAATACATGCCATAAAGCAATTTTGTTTCATCAAACAAATGCATGTTTCAATATTATCCATCTTGAAATGGTATGGTGCAACAAATTTGTTAAATTCCTTGAGGTTTAAAATAAGTYGAAAGGATCCGTTTTTCTTTTCTCGAAGAAAAACAGGGGAAATGAACTCCCCTATCTAGGAAATCATTCAGAAGCAAGGCCATGTTTTGGCTCTCCTAGTAGTGGGAGAGGGGCGTTCTGGCGCATGCAAGATCATCGGGTTAAGGCTAAATCATCGAGTCAAATCCAAAACTGCAACACAYTAAATCATTGGCTCAACCGGTGATTTAGCTACTCAAATTAACTAGCTAGATTCGATCTTATGCTTTTATATTTGTTATATATAATGGGTAGCAACACAGAAGTTAAAGAAATATTAGATATCATCGAAAATTCATCATTTGAAGATTTAGACAGAATTTTAAATGTAAAACAATCACAATCATCATTTAAAGGTTTTCTAAAAACATATGAAATTGATGGAGATGCAAAATGTCCGTTAGAATATTTAACTGAAAATAAAAAACGAGTTATGAACGTATTAAAGTGCAACTGACGCCATTTTTGTCTTCACTCTGTCAAATTCTATCATAACTTCCAAAAAACATGCAAAAAGAATTTTTCGAATCAGATAAATCCCTGTTTAACAAAAAAAATTTGAATTTAGCGCTTTTTCCGAAGTTCGTGTTTCCTTCTGAGTGTTTGCCGGTCTTTTACAAGTGTCAAGTACGTCGTCGAGTGTTTTGTGATCGTTTAAAAGCACTTCTTTTCTAATTATTTAACATAATTTCACTCGAAGTACTATGTCTGCATGTGATAGTGATGGCGAAAGCTCTCGAGGATCGTTTTATGACGATTGCTCCGATTTTGAAGTTGAATTTGAAGAAGTACCTTCCGTGGCGCGAAATCGACAACAAGAACTAGTGACAACAACAGAGGASGATGTGGAAGAGGGCGCCTATCTTGAAGAGCCCATAGCAAGCAACAAATGGGTAGAAGAGTATACTAAGAAACAGAACGCTGTTACGGAAGAGACTTTCTGGAGAGCTGGATGTCCGTAGTTGGTAAGTCTTATTTCGCCGCAGCTTGGCTTGGTTTACGTACTTCAGGTTTTTTTTTTGTCTTTCATGAATGGCATTTTTGTTTTAACATGTAGGTGCAAGTGTGGAAACTGTAGTACACAAACGCTTCAAAATATAAGCGAGTGCTACTGCTGTACTGAGWTAGATGGATGTGTAAAATCCTTAGAAACAGATCTTGTTCGCCAAGAACTCAGTCAAGAAGAAGAAGGCCGACGCRTTGTTTGCGTAACCAAGCATCCAGGATTTGGACCTGTGTGCTTAGAAAAGTGGAGTCTGAGGATGGCGGCGAATCGTTTTAAAAGAAAGAACAAAGAGAGATATCGGCAAACAGGATCTGAAGAAAGGTAAACACTCAAACTATTATTAACACTCATTATGCTCAACTGATTGATATTCCAGCTGTTGCAAACAATGTCAATTCCTTGAGATCATACATAAACACTGTGAAGATACACCTTAGAAGCCTAACTGTACTAAAGCAGGACATAAATCAAAGCATTTTTATTCCTATGATCACATCTAAATTGCCAAAAGACGTTGTAGTTCAACTTGAAATCCAAAAGAAGAGAGACGAAACGTGGACAGTAACTAAATTACTTGAGCAACTAGAGGGATACATCAACGCAAGAGAGTCAGCGGAGAGAATATTCAACCCACCAACTCTAACTACACCACTTAGTGGACCACATATTAATTCTACTACAAGAGACATACCTAGAAATGGTTGCAGCAATGCATCATTAAATTTCAACTTCCCACCCCCAAAGAAGCCCATCTTTGCTTCAGAAACTCTACTACACGCACAGAAAGCCAGCTCATCACCTAGTAGGCCACGTAAGGCATGTGTTTACTGCAACAAAGAACATTGGTCGGATGAGTGTAATGTTTACAAAACAGTAGAGGAGAGAAAAGCCAAAATAAAGGGGAGATGTTACAACTGTCTTAGCAACAAACACATGTTACGCGAATGTCAAATGGAGAAAGCCTGCTACTACTGTAAGAAGAAAAAGAATCATCACAGAAGCCTATGTCCTACAACATTTTCATCAAAAGGACACAAAGAAGTTATCGCAATAGCATCAGAAGACACTCATTTCACTACAAACAGTGATGCGCAAGCACCTGTCAACACTGAATGTGCTACACTAGCACCTGAGAACTCTGTAGTCATGCAAACCGCTACAGCAACTGTCACAAATCCATGTGAAGAAAGTACACAAGAAACTGCACAAATACTCTTAGACTCTGGAAGCTATAGGTCATATATAACTACAGACCTTGCAATGAAATTAAAGCTACAACTAGGAAAGAAAGAAAAGATAAGGCTTGTCACTTTCGGACAAACACAGAGTCAAGTTATCAACACACCAACTACTAATTTAGACTTGCCACTTAAAGATGGAACAACACTTCATTTAACTGTAAACGTAGTACCAAAGATCACTGGAGAAGTACATAGACACCCAATTAGCTCACAAGCACTCAACAGCCACTTACTGAAGGATATAGAACTTGCAGATAAACTACCACTTGAAAGACAAACATCAAACATTGATTTACTGATCGGAAATGACTATTATTTAGACATAATAGAACCAATGAGAGTTCAACTACAGCCAGGCTTATACTTACTTGCATCAGGACTTGGATGGATTCTAACAGGAAGGACTTCGTCGGAGAGCTCA